AAAAAACAAACATGGCACAATCACACACTGAAAAAGCAGGCTCAAGTTCCCATAACTGCTAAGCAAAGAGCTAGAAGGATGATTCTGTGTACCTAAAGAGTCTGCTGTTAAAAAAGTTGGAGGAGAACAGGAGTAAAGCACACTGACTTCTGTCCTGTCAACCTACTAAGAGTTGAACAAGGGTACATCCTTTGAGAGTCAGAGGCCAACGTGTGTGACCCTGTTCACTGCAGAGCACACACTCCCAAGGACTAATGTGACTAGGCAGCTAGATGCACAGAAGAGGGGGATGGGGTGGGGTGGGGTGGGATTTCTACTGCCAAAGGAAATCCTGACTCTGGGGCTACAGATTTAAAACATAATCAGCAACAGCACTTCCGAGAACATAAATAGTTCTTGGGAAAAATGGAGAAGACGATGGTGGTCTGATCTGGGACCACCAAGCACCCTGGAAATGCCTGCTCCCCACCACTTGGAACCCAAACAAGACTCACCCTCCTCACCTACATTCCAATCAAGATAAGTGGTCTCTGTGGCAACCAGACCCATATTTTGTTTTTTCCTTTCCTTAACCAGAGAAAGGAAGCCTGTCCCTTTGCCCACTCACATTCTGAATACTAATGGTCAGCTGTGTCTTGAAGTCGCTGAAATCCTTCGCCAGTTCATAACCATGATGATAGAAAGTGAAGAGTCCTTGCAAGAATGCCAGTAGCTGGAACAAAGGAAGAAGGGCAGAGGTCACACGAAAGGTTAAAAAAAAAGATTATGTAGCTGTATCTGAGTTCACAGCACTGTTTCAAAGAAAGCAATACTAATAAAGTAGTAATAATGGCTAACATTTACTGAGCATTTCTTGCATACTAGGCACTGGCACTGTGCCTGTACATACATGGCCTGTCTCACTGATACTTGCAACAATCTATCAGGTAAGTACTACCATAATTCACTTTTTTTTTTTCTTTTTTTTAAATTGTGCTTTGGGTGCAAATTTACATAGCAAACTTGTTTTACATTCAACAATTCATGCAAATCTTAATAATGAGGAAGCAGACTCAGAGAGGTCAAGTCACTTGCCCAAGAACACAGAGTAAATGGCAGCTAGAATTTGAAACCAGATCTCTTTGGCACCAATATCCATGCTCTTACCCTTGAGCCTCAATACTTCCTTAAGAATCATAAATTGAAGACCAGAGCTCTACCTCAGTATCTTTCAAGTGCATTTTTAGTATTATATTATCATGCAGAAAGGTGTGGTTGTATCAATAACCAACAAGGAAGGGAGAAAAGGAAAATGGTGTGTTCCAAGTCTATAGTCTAATAAGAAAAGTCAGAGCAAAGAAAATCATCCAGAGTAAACTGAAGCCATCCCACTAACGTATACTTCTGGCGTAGTGCCTAAGGCATTTGCCTGCTAACCAGAAGGCTGGCAGTTCAAACCCACCAGCCACTCCTCAGAAGGAAGACTGGGCAAACTACTTCCATATACACCGCCTCAGAAACCCAAGGAGGGGTCGCTATGAGTCGGAATCAACTCGATGGCAATGAGTTTTCAGTGAGATTCACTGTTTAGTGAAAACATCTGTTCTACACAATTCTCACAACATACCTGGACATACTTAAAATGTCCACATCCTCAGTCCCTGACAACTGTCAATAATCCAAGCTAAAGAAACCCTCATAGACCCTACAGCTAAACTTCACTGTTACACTTTCCTGGCCCCCTTTCACATCTTTGTCTCAAATCCCAGTATCAACCTGAAGGTATTATAATAAAAACCTGAAAAGATTTAGAAGGAACAGGATGTCAGCTCTGTCACAGTTCTATCACACCTTGGCAACCATCCTTGTTCTAACCTCAACTCCTCGCTGTCAATTCACACTTTCTTAGTAATTCACTCCTGATCTGCCTCTACTGCATGTTATACTAGACACATTTGCTTTACCTTATGTTATTACAATAGTTTTTCATTCCCTAAATGAATGCATCTTTTCTGGTTAAACAGGTGTTGGTGTTAGGTGCCGTCAAGTTGGTTCTGACTTATCCTTACCCTACCTATGTGCAACAGAACAAAATGCTGCCCAGTGCCCTGTACCACCCTCACAATCCTGGCTGTGCTTGAGCCCCCTGTTGTAGCAACTTGTCAATCCATCTCACTGAGGATCTTCCTCTTTTTCACTGATCTTCTACCTTACCAAACACGATGTCCTTCTCCAAGGACTGGTCCTTCCTGATAATATGTTCAAAGTATATGAGATGAAGTCTCACCATCCTCCCTTCTAAGGAGCATCCTGGCTATACTTCTTCCAAGACAGATCTGTTTGTTCTTCTGGAAGCCCGTGATCTAATCAGTATTCTTCACCAACACTACAATTCAAATCCATCAATTCTTCAGTCTTCCTTAGTCACTGTCCAGCTTTCACATGCATATGAGGCGATTGAAAATACAGGCATAACCTCTTTTATTGTGCTTCACTGTACTGTGAAATAAAGTGCTTCACTTTATTAAAACTTCAGATACTGAGTTTTTTACAAACTCTAAGTTTGTGGAAATCCTGCATTGAGCAAGTCTGTCGGTGCCATTTTTCCAACACCATGTGCTCACTTCCTGTCTCTGTCACATTTTGGTAATTCTCACAATATTTCCAAACGTTTTTGTAATGCTATTGCACATTTAATAGACTATAGTATAATGTAAATATAACTTTATATGCACTGGGAAACCACAAAATTCTTGTACCTTGCTCTATTATGATAGTCCCTTTATTGTGGTAGTCTGGAACCACCAGACCTGGCCTGGGTTGTTGTTGTTGTTGTTGTTGTTGTTGTTATGTGCCATCGAGTGGTACTGGACTCATAGCGACCTCTCCTTGGGTTTCTGAGGTAGTATCACTACGGAAGTAGATTGCCCCAGCTTCCTTCGGAGGAGTGGCTGGTGGGTTTAAACTGCCAGTCTTCTGGTTAGCAGTCAAGTGCCTTAGGCACTATGCTACCAGTTGTTGTTGTTGTTGTTGCTGTGTGCCGTCGAGTCGGCCCCGACTCATAGTGACCCCTCCTTGGGTTTCCGAGGCAGTATCACTACGGAAGTAGGATTGCCCAACCATCCTTCCGAGAAGTGGCTGGTGGGCTTGAACCGCCAGCTTTCTGGTTAGCAGTCAAGCGCTTTAGCCACTATGCTACCAGAGCTCCCAAGACGTGTACCTTAATCCCTCAAAGTGACATCTTTGCTTTTTAACAATTTAAAGAGGTCTTTTGCAGCAGATTTTGATCCAATTCTTATGTGAGAAGAAGCCCTAATAATGACAATGGGAGAACTCTTCCCACATTGCCTACTCCCATAATTTGCTTGTGGCAAGAATGCTAAGTAAACCCAAAGAATGAGTTATTCTACCTGAGCTCAGAGGACAGGCCTGTCTTCCGCTGAAAAAAAAAAGTGCCCAGTCCAGTTTATCAAAGAGCTTTCCTCTGGAAAATCAGATAAAACCCAGATTATAACAATATGGTAACAACATGGTACTTTGACATGTCCCTCTGCCATTGGCTCCCTCTAGACAGATATTCATAGGAAGTGGGGAGCAGGTATTTCTGGGTCCTCTAGCTACAATAACATCTCAAAAAAAAAAACAAACTCATTGCCATCGAGTCAATTCCAACCCACAGCAACCCCCATTGGGGCTTCCAAGGTGTAAACCTTTACAAAAGTTGACTGCCCCATTTTTCTTCCACAGAACAGCTGGTGGGTTTGAACCTCCAACCTCCTGGTTATCATTCAAAATCCCTCAGACACTGTGCCACAAGAGCTCCTCATAAAAACATCTAGTGGCAGCATACATATACATCCCTAACATAACACTCTGGTGGCATAGCGCCTAAGACACTTGACTGCTAACCAGAAGGTTGGTGGTTCAAACCCACCAGCCACTCCTCGGAAGGAAGATGGGGCAATCTACTTCTGTAGTGATACTGCCTCGGAAACCCAAGGAGGGGTCACTATGAGTCGGAGACCACTTGACGGCATATAACAACAACAACATAAACCAATAACAAGGAGTTACCAAAAACTAGTAATAAACTCTTTTCTTCAAAGATGGCCAAAGTCTTTGAATTTATTCTATATAAAATACTTTTTTGAGAGGAAGGCCCTTAATTTTCCTTCTAGATGGCTCCACTAATAAAGAAAAGGAGGTTTTTATGCCAAACCTGGCCCCAGTATTCACAATGAAAACCGTTCTTACCCTCTTATCTTACCAGCCCTCATACTTGAATGCTGTGCATTATCACTTTTTCAAGGCACTGTGCCATCACCAACTGGAGAATAATGCAAAAGATAAGCAGCGACCTCTAAGGTCATTCCTTCTATTAACTTTGATTTATGCTTTGCTTAAGTAAACAGGATGTCTCTCTTGCTCAGAGCAATTAGATACTGTCAAATAGCTCACTAAGATGCCACTTAGGCATACAAAGAAGAGCTCCAAAGGCAGAAGTTACTAATATGTATTAGAGTTTTTGCGTCCTTTGGTGTCATGTCTCAACTGTCCATTTTTCTATGGGAAATGATTCCTCAGATATTGTTATCTTTGGACTACTTCTTCCTTCCTCCTCCTCTCACATCAAACCTCCTCTCCTCCACTCCACCTCCTTACATACCCCTTCTCATACACTGTAGGAACCTTTGAGCCTATTACTGGGTGGAAAGTGAAAGTCCACTCTTCAGGGGGCAGGGTGAGGCCCACAAAAGGACTCCAGAGATGAAGGAACTTTCTGCTTCAAAGATATGCTTCTACTCAAACACAAAGAGGAAGAGCTTGGAGTAGCCCCACCTGGTTATCAGATAGGAGAGGCACGTCCACAGAGGCCCCTCCCTAAACAGTCCCTGGTCACAGCACAACAACGGAAATACCAAAGAAAGCCCTTCTCCATCTCCCTTTGCTCTCTCCCTGTCCTTGTCTTCTTCAGAGAGTAAGTGTAAATAAAACCTATTCCTACTGCCTAGTTGACAACATAGAACTTATTTAAAATTAAAAATAGGGAAAAGAAGCACCAAAAACATGACTGCTCAGTTTAGCATTGGCTGCATCATTATGCACCACTTGTCTCTCAGTCTGTGGCACTGTGGTGGTTTGCATGTTGCCATAAGGCTGGAGGCTATGGGTGGTAAATTGCTTTATGTGGCTCCTCTAGCCATTGTCCTCCATTTTGACATATTGGGTATATCCTATTATCCATGCCTGTTTAGGGTGGTATGGTAGTTAAGGCTGTGGTAGTTAACTTGACTGGGGGAGCTGGTAGTAGTTACTCCCTATAATGCCTGGCTATCAACTCTGTGGTGGAATTTGCCCCAAGCAACTGAATAGCTGCTTTTAAATTCCTGATTGTTAAAGTCATCCACTTGGGTATTTCTGTTGAAACAGCACTGAAACCAGCTCAGCAGTAACCGAAACCAGTGGGATATATCTTGAGTCCCACCTTGCTGGAAGGGGTAACTCAAATCAACATCCTTAGCTTCCTTGAGGGTATATATAGGAATCTTCTGGGAAGCTTCACACTCTCTCTTCTGTTCCATTTCTGTTTTGGCTCATCATCATCTCACCCCTGGATTTGAGACAGCAGCCATAATCTGATCTGTTGATTTAGGTTCATCAAACCCCAAGAACTGAGAGGATCCTTCTTACCTACTTACAGACCAGGAACTTGTGCCAGCCTCCGATGCTCCA